GACCTGCCCTAAGATTCAGGCACGAAAACTGGGTTTCGGAACAGGCTATTTCTGGCCTGTTCCCACGCCAGCTCGAGCAGGAGCTGCAGCTGCAGCCCCTGCCTCCCTGCGGCATTATTGGCGAGAGCACGAGCAGGAGCTGCAGCTGCAGCCCCTGCCTCCCTTCGGCATTATTGGCAAGAGCACGAGCAGGAGCTGCAGCTGCAGCCCCTGCCTCCCTTCAGCGCTAGGCAGTTGGAGAGTAGGACGGTAGTCTTCAGTTTCGGCCGCAGCACTCAGGAGGAGCGCTGCTGTAGTCTTCAGCGCTAGGCAGTAGTAGTAGCGCTAGCTGTAGTCTTCGGCGCTGGGCGCCATAGCCATAGCAGTAGTCTAGTAGAGTTGGGAGAGACACTGGCGGAGGCCAGTGGTACTTACCTGTGGCGCCATCGCTCCAGCTCCATCTTCGAGGTACCTGCATCAAGGCGCCAACTTCACAGGTAAGTACTGGACACAGAGAGAGAGAGAGTTCTTCTTCTTCCTCTTCTAAGTCCACCATCTCTTCTCACCCTCTCGCCACCTGACTTCTCAGACTACGACAGAGAGAGAAAGAGTTGTGACTTGAGACTCGACGACATTGGATCCAGACTCGACATTGGGATTCAGACATTTTGACGAGGGACTATTTGAGCCTGTGCTGAACACTCGGTGTTGACGACATTCTCATCTTCCCTTCTTCTTCGTCTAACCCCACCTCCTTCGTGTGTGGATGGTTGGGGCTGGCGCAGTCTTCTTGTGTGAAGCGCCAGACCCCTTCACACCATGATGATAATGATGTATGTTCGGGGCTGCATTGCAATATAGATTGTTCGGATCATTGGTATTTAAGTCTTCCGCTGTGCTATCTTATACTTTGTATTGAAAGGTCGGTTCTTGTTCTGGTCTGCACCTATACGGTATGCAACAGATATTGTGGCGCTGGTCTTCTTCTTCATCCTCTGAGTGGCGCTTGGCCCCAGAGACTTGTTTCAGGGTGGCGCTTCCCTTTCGAGGCTGTATTTGGGTGGCGCTTGATGTTTCATGGACTCACGGGTGTTACAGGTGCTAATCAGGGTTGGGGAGTGGAGCGCTGCTCATTTCTGAGCAGCGCACTGTAGTACTGAAGTTATCCTGACAATTCGAGACTCTGAGTTTAATAAACAGTGTGTGGAACTGGGTTTGGACTATCATCGTTTCATTGTTTCCTGGATACTGATCTGCTCGGCTTTTCTTTATGACTGGTTGTGAGGATTGAGTGGAGTGAATTGCACTTTCAGTGTACCCTGTCATATCGCATGGTCAAGTCTTCCGCTGCGTTTATCTCTCCCTTTCCTCTCCCCTTCCTTCTGTGTATGTATGGGCATACCTGGAAGTCTATGTGAGTGAGCGTTGGTCTTCAGACAACAAACAACCAGAATCATAACAACAGTGTGTTAGGAGCACATTATGCAGGTGAAATGAGAGAATGGCACATGATCCCCAGGTACTGCATCAAGAACTCCACAATTACTAGCAATCAGACTGCCATCGTGGAATCACGTTCTGAATAATTGCTATAGCAGAATGACAGACAAGATAAATGGCTGTCACATTCGTTTCCTCAGGGAAACACTCCTACATTAGTAGATTTGGTCATTATTCAGGCTGCTGCCACATCACATAACAGTTTAGGGTTTAGGGTTTAAGCTCTAGAGTTCAGGGTTTAGGGTAAAGGTATACCACAACTGCTTTTTTGTTTTTGGATAATCGTCATTGAGGATCCTGCTATGACAACGAGGTGTTCTATCGACAGCCCCACCATCACGGGAGAAAAGTACAATCATGGTAATCAACATATACAAACCACTGTTACAATCTGGAAGTCCATACCCGATCCATTTCATTTAAGATAATATCCCATCATCTCATGCAGTTCAAGATTGTGGCATGGGAGCCGGCCTGCTTCGAGGGGGAGAAGGATCTAGAAGTATATACCGGAGTCATAATAGGGGCCACCTCTCTTTCCATAAATGTCCTTGTCTTCTTCCTAATGGCTTGCTCATCCGGGCCAATTAGAGAATCTAGTTGGAAGTAATCAGATACTGCACGAGCAAACACAACCAACCAAAAAAGCAGCACCGCACACCAAATGTGTCAACACTGGCAAATCATGATCAACAATCGGTTTCAGAGAATTTACCGCCCTCCCAACCACTGTCCACAGAGCCAGCAAAGCCATGGTTTACTACTTCCTCTGAATGTTTGAACACACACACCGATGTTAAACTACTCGAAAGAGAGAAAGACATTATGATACCATGACCTAATATTAACTGCTAATTTGTGCTAATGCAAGGAAAATGAGCAATAGCGAGATGACAGAATCCAGATTGCACAATCACATTGAAAGCCAGAAAGTCCCACAGTGTCCAGAAAGTAGCATTGCACCAATAATACACCAATGTAATGACCCGCCAAAACACAGACTGAGATTGGGTGGCATTGTCTTCATTTCGCAATTGGGTGGCATTGTCTTTCATTGTGAATTTGCACTTTGGAAATGACCAGGATCGTAACAATTGGTATTGGAGCGGACTTACTTGCTGGCGAGAGGTGTCAGTCACCCTAAACCTAATTCCGAATTAGGTTAGGGCTAACCTAATCTCGGATTAGGGTTGGGAAGTTAGGGTTAAGTGGGGTAGTGAGGTATGAGGATACTGCCCCCACCTGGTTAGGTCATGTAGGGTCGACATTAGACCTGACCAGGTTGCTTGAGTGATTGGATGGGGTGGCGAGACACAAAGGAGGCTGATTGGAGTAAGCGAGAGGGAGTGGAGAGTGAGAGGTACTCGCACCTGGAATATGCACTTCAAGAAGACATTGAGTGACTTTTGGGCTTCCCCTCAAGAGGGAGACTTGATCGGAGGCTGCCATATCTGCATCGAAGAGCTGCAAGTTGCTACTTTGGTCTTCAGACATCGGCGAGGGATCCGGCGTTGCAACAGGGGTGTAGGAAGGCCCTCTTAGTCATGCTAGGACACTTCGTGCAGTGGTAGCTAGGGGTCAGGAGGACTTATGAGAGAGGGGGGTGATTCGTTATCCATCTTTGGAGGCCGGTGTCGGGCCGAGCCCCGGTAGACTTTCGAGCCTTCGTCGACCCCCAAAGGGTCCCATTTGGCTCGACCCGCCCACGCTCAAGCTCAGGGTGCGGGTCATTCGTCCCGGGGCCACCCCCACCTAGTGCTTTGGTATGGATGGGGATGGGCCAATAGGGCGAGAGAGCTTGACATTGGGGATGTAGCTCAACCCTTGCATTGGGTGGTAGCCTCACTGGTCAACTGTCACAAGCGTACATTCTCGATTCCTCATTGTGTTCGCAAGCAATTGCTCCTTCCAATACTCAGGCAGTCCAAGGAGTTCATTGAGAGTTTCTCTTCTTTACGTGCGTAGGGCTAAGCGTTATCCTTAGGCCACGCACCATTTCCCTAACGTCACGACAGACTTCCGGCATCATCGGGGCGCGGCCACGCTGTCCTTCCCCTAAGCCGCTACCATTTCCTATGCCTAGCTCACGCATTCCATTCAGGATACTATTGCGGCCCTTAGTCTTTTCGGGCGTCCATTTGCATGCAACAACCAAGGCACACTCATACCCTACAAAGCCACGCCCCTCTCTTCCCTTCCCTTTGCTTCCCTTTGGTCCTCCTCTAGTTTGCTTATCCTCAGCCCAATCCCGCTCAAGTCATTCCGAGCTACTCACCTGCACAATTCCCACACAAGCAAGGAACAACATCCATCCCCCCCATTGGGGTCAACACATCGCCCTTCCAGCAAGCCTAAGTCCTTTCCTCTTTCATGGTTCTTTCACCCTTTCCTTTTCTTCCCGCAGTCAAGCCATGCTCTTCCCTTAGTCATGCAGTCGGGGAAATGGTTGAGTCAACTGACCTTGCACAAAACTTGCACTTGTCTTCACCTTTCTTTTCAACGATTCCACTTTTCCAAGTTCACAAGTTTTTCACTTTGCTCCTTCTTGGTGGCGCAAAGGACCGGCTGCCCTCCCCTTGCCCTCTTTCTCCACCAAGTGAGGCTGCCTCTTTTCACCGTTCGCCCCTTGGCAATGTAACAAGTGAGGGTGGAGGTTAGTCACGTTGTCGGACAGCGGCGCGCCGCGTCAACATATAGTTGACTCGTCGCGGCCAGCCTCCGCACCATAGAACTGCATATGGTCACGATCAGCAGAATGTCGACGTGTTGGTTTGGCCCTTGGGCCGAGTCAGCGGACAAAACGGCGCGACGGTCCAGCCCCATGGAGATCGAATCATGGCTTTTGGGTTGAACCGCCGCGTCTGCAAGGGCCAGATTAGTAGGGCCCAGTCCAAACGGTATTGAAAACGGACCAAGGGTTAGTGAGAAAAATAGAATTGACCACTTGGGACCGGACTTGCCGCGTTGGGAAGAGTTCGGCCCGAAATGGTCAAGGGGGAATACTGGATTGGGCCCCTTATTAGCGATAAGAGGGGTGTTTTGTTTTCGAGAGCAAGGCCGACCCTTAGCATTCCAAAGTCGGGCCACTTTTAGCCCGACACTAATTTTAGTACCATTCTGTGTTATTTTTAGCGTAGGGCACGCTATTTTTAGCACAGGCCTGAGTTATTTTTAGCGCAGGCCTGAGTTATTTTTAGCGCAAGATAAATATAGCACAGGCCCGTGCTATTTTTATCCCAAGCGCCGTGCTAATTTTAGCGCTGTCCCGCGCTAATTTTAGCACAGGCCCGCACTATATTTAGCGCAGGCCCGTGCTATTTATAACTCGGGACTGACTGTTCGTGTCCCAAAGTCGGGACTGTCCCAGTCCCGTGCTAATTTTAGCGCAGTCCCGCGGTAATTTTAGCACAGGCCCGCGCTATATTTAGCGCAGGCCCGTGCTATTTTTATCCCAAGCGCCGTGCTAATTTTAGCGCTGTCCCGCGCTAATTTTAGCACAGGCCTGTGCTATTTTTAGCCCAAGGACTGATGCACCTTGCCTGATCACCCGGCCTCTTCACTATAAAAGAGAGGCCGAGCCACTTGAGAACAAGAGAAGCCCTCACTTGTGGGAATGCGGAAGCGCTGGTGGAATGGTGAACCGGGGACTGTCGTGCTGGAGCTAGTAGGAGAAAGAGAAGGCCCAAGGCAAGCAAGAGAGAGGTAAAGGGGTAAGGCAGCTAGGGGGAGTAAGGTGGTCCTGATTCCTACTAGGGCCATAGTCCCTCTCCCTTGCCTCCCCTCCTCTCTCTCTCTCTCTCTCTGTCTCTCTCTCTCTCTCTCTCTCTCTTTCCCCTCTCCTTACCCGCTCCGGTCATTTCCCGTAGTCAGGCCTGCTACTCATGAAAAGGTCCCAATTTTAATTTTAATTTTATTTTTAATTTATTTTATTTACGACCGCATCCTTGCATCTTCAGTGTGCGCCATTGCAGCATAAGGGTAGCCAATGTGTCTGAGAGCACTGCGCTAGCAGATCGAGAACCGCCTATGTGTCTGAGCGCACCGCGCTAGCAGATCGAGAACCGCCTGTGTTCAAGCGCACTGCGCTAGCAGATCGAGAATAGCCAATGTGTCTGAGCGCACTGCGCTAGCGGATCGAGAACCGCCTATGTGTCTGCGCGCACCGCGCTAGCAGATCGAGAACCGCCTGTGTGTTCGAGCGCACCGCGCTAGCAAATCGAGAATCGCCTCTGTGCCCGAGCGCACCGTGTTAGCAGATCGAGAATAGCCAATGTGTCTGACCGCACTGCGCTAGCAGATCGAGAATCGCCAATGTGTCTGAGCGCACTGCGCTAGCAGATCGAGAACTGTCAGTGTGTCTGAGCACACTGCGCTAGTAAATCGAAGATTGCCTATGTGATTGAGCGCACTGCACTGGAGAATCGAAAGCTGCCTATGTGATTGAGTGCTCTGCGCTGGGGAATTGAAAATCGCCTGTATGTTTGAGCGCACTGCGATAGAGAGCCGAAAGATCGCCTGTATACCCGAGCGCACCGCGCCAGAGAATCGAAGATTGCCTGTATGCCTGAGCGCATCGCACTAGAGAACCAGAGGGTTGCTGTTTGTATGAGCAAGCCGATTCACTGTGCCAGCAGGCACTCAGATTGAGTATTGTCACCGATTTAATGTGCCAGCAGGCACTCAGACTGAGTATCATTATGATTCACTGTGCCAGCAGGCACTCAGATTGAGTATTGTCGCCGATTTAATGTGCCAGCAGGCACTCAGATTGAATATCATTGTCGAGTTATTGTGCCANCGATTTAATGTGCCAGCAGGCACTCAGATTGAATATCATTGTCGAGTTATTGTGCCAGCAGGCACTCAGATTGAGTATTGTCGCCGATTTAATGTCCCAGCAGGCACTCTGATTGAATATCATTATCGAGTTATTGTGCTAGCAGGCACTCAGATTGAGTATTGTTGCCGATTTAATGTGCCAGCAGGCACTCAGATTGAACATCATTGTCGAGTTATTGTGCCAGCAGGCACTCAGGTCGAGTGTTGTTGCCAATTTACTGTGCCAGCAGGCACTCAGGTTGAGTATCTCTGCCGATTCATTGTGCCAGCAGGCACTCAGACTGAGTATCTTTGCCAATTTATTGTGCCAGCAGGCACCCAGATTGAGTACACTGTTTTGGCTGTGCCCGATGAATGAAAGGCGACTGTGCGCACTCAAACTTGAGTGCGACACTGCGCCCTTAATTTGAAAAAGCTAATGATGCATATGCAACTGTGCGCACTCAGATTTGAGTGCGACACTGCGCTTATTATCTGAGGAACCCATTTTAATGATCTTGAGTATATGTGACTGTGCGCACTCCGATTTGAATGCGACACTGCGCTCTTTATCTGAGAAACCCGTTTCGATGATCTTGAGTATGTGCGACAGTGCACACTTTTATCTGTAATTTTGGCATGACGATTTTGAACATGTGCAACAGTGTGCACTCAATTTGAAAACTCAGCATAGATCATTCCGAGCAAGTGTGACTGTGCGCACTCGAATTTGAGTGTGACACTGCATGATCAATATGCAAAACTCGACTTCGATGATTTTGATTTTGTGGAATTTTGCTCAATCTGCGTACACTGCTTCTGCTGTTTGAGTGCGCGCCCATCCTCAGTTTGGTTGTTTGAGTGCGCGCCCAGCCTCAGTTTGGTTGTTTGAGTGCGCGCCCAGCCTCAGTTTGGCTGTTTGAGTGCGCGCCCAGCCTCAGTTTGGTTGTTTGAATGCGCGCCCAACCTCAGTTTGGTTGTTTGAGTGTGCGCCCAGCCTCAGTTTGGCTGTTTGAATTCGCGCCCATGAGCGCCCAAGCTTGGCATTGCTGTTAGAGTACGCGCCCATGCGCGCCCAAGCTTGGCATTGCTGTTAGAGTGCGCGCCCATGCGCGCCCAAGCTTGGCATTGCAGTTAGAGTGCGCGCCCACGCCTGGCACTGTTGTTAGAGTGCGCGCCCATGTGCG